ATTATCATGCATGTGGCGCCAGTAAAACATCACATGGCATATTGCCGCTAGCAATACACGAAGAGTAGTCTAGGAGTACATGCCGGGTCACACCCTCTACGCACTCTCACTAGAAGGATATACTACCAGAGTCTCGTCAGGATAGCTAAGCCGCGCAAGATACATCCCATGCACACAATGGGCGAGACTAGGACTTCCAAACCGAGCTATCCCCAAGGACTAATCCCCAAAGCTTTTACACTAGGGGGCCTTCTCTAGCGGTGTATTTCATATCGTACCCTTAAAACATTTATGCAAATGATGCATGTCAATCAAGACTCTATGCATTCTCATATCACATTATCATTTCCCATGGTCATATCGCATCATCACATTTCGTCATCACATTTCATTATCACATTTCATTCACAATCTTCACAGACCACTTTATTTCGTATTAAAACTCATCTATTTGCATAATTAGATACACATTTATACATCTTATACAACAAGGAGTACAACAGAACAATCAGAAGGTAAAACAAAAATTATTTAAAATATGTCTATTTCTCATAGGGTTCTCTCAAGAACCCACAGAGCACTCTAATTCATATCAAAACTTGTTTATTTTCAAAATTAAACACATTCACACATCTCTTTTAATAGGGAATATAACGGAATAGACCGAAGGCAAAACAAAAATATTCCTATTTTGCCTGCTGCTTATAGGGTTCTCTCAAGAACCCGTAGAGCGTTCCAATTTATACAATAAATATTTAAAATAAGACAATTTACGTATATAATTATTATGAAAATTAATTTACTCATACAATCACCAATGCACTCCCTTAGGGTTTCCCGTAGGAACCTATAGGAACACCAAATTCCACAATCATAGCCTAAACAAAGTTTCTATTCATACACGCATATTAATTAAGTAATTGGAACATACAAGAAAAATATGACATATAACAAACACAAGATTGGGGGCCAATCCCACTATCCAGCATACAATCCTACACCCAGAGCGAGGTTTCTCACTCCCCCCTTACCTGGATAAGCAGGAGCTAAAACTGAAGCAGGATCTCCTCCTCTGGGTTCCTCTTGGTCTCCAGAAAGTGTAGAAGAAAAAGGGTCAAAAGTGAAAAAATGCATTTTTCTAGAGTGCCGGAACGCATTTATAGGCATCAGGATTTGGCTAGAACGGCCCGTTCGGAATCCAAAATAGCTCGTTCTGGGCACATAAAACATGTAGAAAAGCCTCTCCCAGAACGACCCTTCCAAAACCAAAACGACCCATTCTGGGTCAATAATTTGTTCTTTAAAAGCACATTCGGAATGGCCCGTTCCCAAAGTGGAACAGCCCGTTCTGGGTTGAAATTTTACCCATGCATGCTCGAGTTGGAACGGCCCGTTCCCAAAGTGGAACGGCTCGATCCGGGGCTATAAAAATCCAGAATTACTAATTAATAAATAAATAAATAACATACATATATATATATATATATATATATATAATTAAAATAAAATATCAATACAATTTAAAACATGATTTTCTTCAAATAATAATTATAACAAAATATCATAATTAATAATATTATACAAAATAATTTTCATAAATGATTATTATTAAAAACCTTTAAAAA